TTCGCTTAAGTTGGCGGACGTCGATACGTTCACAGATTTAGGCGTTTTATTTGACCATAGATTACGTGTTAACTTGCACATTGACCTCTCGTTAAGCAAAAATAGGTCCGCGCTTGATTTTATAAAGAGGTGGTCCATAGAGCTTGATGATCCCTGCATTACGAAAAGGCTGTACATGTGTTTGGTTAGACCTATACTTGAGTATGCCTCTGTTGTGTGGTCTCCTCCATATGGGTGCTATGTAGATTCAATTGAATCTGTTCAAAAGCAATTCTTGCTGTTTGCCCTTAGGAATTTGGGTTGGGACGCGATTGCATCTCTTCCGTCCTATGAAAATAAATTGCTTCTGGTTGTCCTTACCGTCTCTTGAGAAACGTAGATTTCTTCTTGGCCTTTCCTTCGTAATCAAAGTAATAAATGGTGCTATTGACTTGCCTGCATTACTTGGTGAAAGAAGCTTTAATGTCCTAAACCGCTTCTCTAGGCACTTTATCTTGGTTAAGCTTAGCCAATGTAAATATAATTATGAGCTGTTTACCCCGCTCAGAGTTGTTTGCAAGAACCTAAAATTGCTTAATGCGCATAATTTACCTACGTCGTACTTGAACTAGCTCTTAACCTTAAAAAGTCACGATGAGTCGAAAATTGTTGTTAACTATTATCGGTTGTCAAGCTTATGCATGTTTGCGATGGCTTAGTGGTTCATTTGCAATTTGGTCCTGTACCGGTTGTGGGTGTGGCTTTATGCTAGTTGTGTACATACTTTTTTTCTTTTTTTCCTTCTTTTTTTGTTTTATTATACTTATACAAAGTTTTAATATTAATTAATTTAAGATTTAATTTAAGAGTCAATTGAACTCGACTGTCAATTTGTTGTAGTAGAGTTTCTTGTATAAGTAGAATAAATAAACACCCGTTTGAGAGGATGCGACGTCAAGTCAAAAAATCATTAACAGAATTGTCAATCTTATAAATAACAGCGTCTAGACGTTTCCTGTGGAAATCTATGCAGGATTTTCAGATACATGATAAAACTACTGTACTTACTTAGCATAGGTAGATGGAACATGACAAATTCTGTTGTCTTTCTTTAATTTAGTATATTCTTATCTTTAGTATGGAAGAATGTGATCACTTATGTAATCGTTTAGCTATTATGGCTGACGGTCGGATCAAATGTCTCGGTTGCGTTCCTGAATTGAAGCAATTACATTCTGCTGGACTTATCATTAGCTGCAAGTTAGTTTCTACTGATGTCTCGGACGAAGCCGTCCATAACTCGAAGGTTATGTTCATAATTTTCCAAATGTAATTTACGTGAGAATCATGCCGGCATCTTAACATATTTCGTTAAGGTCAACAATTCAATTATTTGGTCCCAAGTTTTTCTCAAGTCCGAACAGTTTTTTAGAGCATCTTCACATTTAATTAAAAATTATTCAGTTAATGAGTCAACACTGGAAGATATATTCTTAACATGTGGTACAAGGAGTCATCGGAAGACATTTGCAAATGATGATTATAATCATAGGACTAATGGAACTATGACGACATTGCAAATTGAAGACGTCTAACGAAATTAATGTAGAATAATAACAACAACTTTTACATTTTTAAACTGTAGTCGATTTCATAATGTTCTTAATCTACAATTTCGCATCAATTGATTAAAAAGTTTCATGATTGCTTATTGTAAAAATTTCATTCTAAAAATGCACAAAAATATTCCTCATAAATAAACTTCATCTCAATATATATCTATATACCCCAAAGGCCCTTGCTCTTATTTATAGCTCTCGGTAACGTTAGCGGCACGTACATGCATAGTTATTTTCTAAGAATGTTCCGATAAACTTTCCGTAAACTATTAATATCTCTCTTAAGAGTGCTTTATTTAAAGCGGTTATAGCGGTTTATAGCGGTTATAAATGTTAGCTAGTCCTAGTTGTATCGGTTTATCCACACTCTTCTATTATGAATCAAAATAAAGTTTCTATTTGTGACTGCAATAATTAAGCATAAACGTAATTTTTTGTTTACGTTTCCACATTCTTCATACAAAGGTAAACAACGGCAAATATGACGGAAGATTTTGTATTTTTATTTGATTATAGAGATAATAGAGACAAAAGGGAGAAAGATATAAAGAACTAAATTTTAGTATGATAATAAAGATAAGTAAGATAAATAAAAACAAGTTTTTATCGTATAGACGTTTGGGCGTGTAAGCATATCCTTGGAAAAGTTTAAGTGATTTCCACATTCTTTTGCAAATTTGTAGGCGATATTTTCATTCCCGTTAACGGGAGAATGTTTACCACAAATAGAACACAGCTACGCAGACAAACAGATGGACAGGCGAATAGACGGACATGTTTGAATTCATTCGAGAATTTATAAACTTTATGGGGTTTTTAAAGCTTATCTCTGCACGTTATAAAGGTATTGATAAAAAAATAAAATTTTGATGCACTATAATATTGAGCAGGCGTGGTCAATCTTTTCTGTTTTTGTACAGGTACTACAGCCTCGTCCGTAGTTTATTATTTATTACTTTTGACGAGGAACGGTGTTCTCAGTTTGCATGGTGCTGTAAGCGTCTCCTTCCACCGATTTCGCCTATTTTCAATACCAACCTGCGTGCAAGAACTTTCAATGTTTCTGCTAAATTCGTAGTCAATAGCTTTATTTTTGCAGCCAGGAGAATGTTTGAAACCTACATTACACCGACGGCCATGCTTAAATTGATTCAAAATTTGTTACTGATCAAGAATACTTCGCGCGGTCTCTGATGCTTCTTTCTAGGCGTTACAAACGTTTGGAATGAGTTCTAGGTTATTTCCGCACGTCATGTATGAGAATGTTTAAATATGTCGATATAAACGAAATAGGAAAATTTCTAAATAAAAAAAATTCAATTGGAATATAAGAAAAGGAAAGAAAGGAGAATTATCAAGGAGAATTATCAAGTGAAAAAATTGTCTAAAGTATCAACTTTTTAAATGAAATTATCCGCCTGAGTGGCCGAGTAGGCAAGAGTCTCGACTAGCAACTCAATGGTCGTGGGTTCAAATCTCAAGTGCGGTAGAGCTTTTAATAAAGCCGAAAGCCTTTTAGATGCTAGTGCTTTAAGACTTTAGTCTTAGAATTTTTATTCTCTGGCTAAACTCATAATAATAATAATAAATGAACTTAGAAAAATCTAAGTTTCCTAGACTCAAGACACTCACACCATCATCACTAGAAGAACAATTGCTAGTACAAAATACATAGAGCGCGCGATGAGAGGTATTCCCATCAAGCCACGTTTCTGAAAACGCGAATAAATCAAACACGTTATCCCTTAAAATAGTTTCACTGTTATGAAATTTGACAGAGTTTGAAGAAAGTCTTTTACTTCGGGAATTTAGATGACCAGCTTTAAGTTGATTGCGACCATTTTGAAGAACATTTTTCAGTTAAGAATTACCACTGCTTACAGTCCGGTGTTGTCACTAAGAGACATCGAAATGAAGAACGCTACGGCAGAAAACAAAACGTTTAATATGAATGCAATACGACAAAAATATGACATAATAACATCCAGTCTTACTACATCTTACACCACTTTGTTGTAGTGAGGATGTATGCAAAACCTAGAGGAGCTTAAAATACACTTATCTTTTATTATGCCGATCGATTTAGAATCTTTTCTAAGTTGCTCTTAGCCTGTCTGTCCATCCCCCCGTCTCTCTGTCCGTCCTTTTGGACCATTCCACAATTTTCAAAAAAGTATCTAACTAGTAGTGTTTCGGCATTCTAAATTGTTGTGAAAACTTTGGACTGCCTGTGGCAATTTTTTTGAGCCTCCTCTCATATAACCGTTCCTGCGGAAACTAAAGTTTTACATGGTAACAACGTCGAAATCGCAATATTTGGCTCATAATAGTAAATTGATAAAGAAATCTAAGTTTGGACCACGTAGGTCTATTTTTTAGATACAAGGAAACATAAATCCTTACGCCAAAAAAGCCTAATTGCTAAGAGCGACTTTAAAGTGGCGCTTAAAGAAGATCGGAGGCTGTAGAGAAGGTCGTACGTGCAATTGCTGAGCTAGCTGATTTGGGAGAAATAAGGAGATTTAAATTTTTGTCTTACAGACACTCCACAGACGGTTGCACCTAATAAAAAAATACACGCACATTACCCTTAAATGATGGGCGAGACCTCCACCTCGAACGGGATTATCATAAGCCTGTTATGCATGTTGTCTTATCTTTGATCTTCTTCGGCCCATGATTTGCGATGGGAGACCCGGAAATTGCGCCCGACGAAGCCTTAAGCTTCTTTCCTCAAAAAAAAAAGTGAAACACGATAAATTAGTTTGTAAAGTTTATGAATTTCGCTTTATTGATGGTTCCTTACAGACTACTGATCTTTTAACCATTGCTTAGAGGTAAGGTATAATGTAGGTTATTGCTTCAAGTTACAGTTGTGCTATGCTGGGTTATTACAATTGTGGTAAAGTTATATTATACGCAAAGCTTGCATAAGTTAAACTAAATAGCAATAAGTGAAATAAGATAATGTAAAATAGATCAAAGTAATAACGCTACAGCATTTTTATATTTTTACCTTAGCATAAAGAATTATAAAAGTTTATTGAATAATACAAAAATAAATTTGAAATGCTTATTTCAATATATTTTACACAAAACAAGGGAAATAGAAAGACTACGGAAATAGAAAGACTACTGAACATTGCAACGTCCACGTACTATTGTTGCGTAAGGATTCTTTTAATAAGTCTTATACGCATTTATCCTTAGATTAAATTGTACAGGTCGTCGCTTACTGTGTAGTTTCCCCTTGATATAATATGGCCGACTGTTTAAGACTGTTTAATTACATTTTATATAGTTTCGATCCGGAATTTCGCTATTTTTATCAACTGTTTACAACTGTTTACAACTGTTTAAGACTGTTTAAGACTGTTTAATTACATTTTATATAGTTATAAACAATGAAACTCTTAAACTCAATATGGAAGAATTAAATGAAGACATCGCATCTTTACGTCATGAGTAATTCATGTTTAAGAAAATAATTAAAATTAATGATCTCAACTTTTGATATTATCCAGCCAATTAAATCAATTGGCTATGAACACTGCCCAGGAGCTATATGAAGCGACATTGCAAAAATCCGCAGCTGGTGGTGGTCGTCAAAGTCATGCAAGCGTGCAAGAGAAAATTAATGCTTTGCTTATAAATTTGCGGCTCTATGAAAAAGGTCTTAAGGTATTCATCATAAAATTTACAAATTTTCTTAAAACGCTGTAACGTTTAATATGTTGAAGCTCTTTCCCGCTAACGTCCAAACCGAATTAATAAAATATCTTTTAAAATCAATAGGTAACGATATATGCAACGAACTGCTTGCGTATATTGCTAATTAATCCCAAATCGAATTAAAAAATAATAATCTAAATATGGATTAAGGTAATAAGTTGGCTCAAGAGTGTGGTAAGTGATAGTTGAAGTAAAACTTTTTATCTGGACATGCAATGTAATGAAAAGGTAGCATAAGTTTTTGCTGTTTAGATGAAGAAGAGATTTAGGTTACTTTCGATGGAAATTATAAGAAGTAGCTCAACTTTAGCCGACATGAAAGTAATTAAAGCTGTCTTCTTGAAAGCATATATCAGAGATATATAACGCGTTTTATAACATCTCCCAAAAATTTATTTCAAATTACCAGCAGAGCTTTATTGGTTCTTACGAACAGCACGTAATTCCTGAATTCGGATCATTTTCATTGTCCTCTCTCGTACAGTAATAATATATTTTTATTCCTTTTCATTTCTTAGTCATCTGCGACTATTGACCATACCACATGAAACGACAAAGAGCTTAAAATTATGCTAAGGCTTGTGAAGTATTCGTAAGAGATAAATAGGTTTAGTAAAAAGAAGTTGAAACGTGAGGAAAAAGTAAAGCTTATCGAAACAACATACAGCTAATAATCTTAACCAATCTCTGGAAAAATCCTATAGATAGTACTGTGTAAACTTAAGACACTTACCCTCTGCTTCTTTTTAAGCCACACATTCGACTGTATCCGCGAATTAGTATACTGTCATTGCCGCAAGCCGTGATTATGATGCTAGAAACTTTCCTCTGTATACATTTTCAAGTGGCATGGAAAAGGAAATACCGATGAAACAGATACCCTTTACTTTTCAAGCGAAGAAGAAAATATCGATAAAAGACGTTCATTTGTCTATTGCAGCGAGTTCCGGCCATTTAGCACCGCCGTGGGGAATGTAAACCCTTTTTTTTGATCATTTGCAGCGATTCCGATGGCAAGATGGTCCTGGTATTTGAATTGGAATTGGATTTCTTATAATCGTTTCAATTGTATAGCTTATGTAACGTATATTTAAGCTTAGTTGTTGATATCGAAAGAAAATGGCTTGTTATGATTTTTCATCTGTCCATGTGAACGAATAAAATTATTTATGAAAATGAAATGCGACCACATTCGGAAAACAATAAAACAATTGACGATTTGTTGGCGTTTGTTAAATTTTAAATTTTGTTCCTTTCGAGCATTTCACTTCGTTAATGACTTTGAACGAGCTAAGCCTGTCCTTAACGAAAACATGAGTAACATAATTATATAAATAACGAAATGCTTTTTGATTATTGCGAACTTCAATGACGACGTTGCGACAGTTAATGACAAATGCAATTAGAAAAGTCTTAGCAAAACAATAACAGTTTGTATGAATGAAGTTGCATGCTCTGTTGCGAAGCATAAAAATCGCCATGTGGCTTGTCCCTTTACATATGCATAGGTGCAAATAAGTGCGAATGTATTGTGCCATCACAGCATGAAACTGTGAATGATATATTTATTTAACTGCTCGATGTTCTTATCTGGTTAGTGCAATAGAGTGTGAGCGTGTATGTCTGTTGATATGAGAGTTTGCACTCGTAACATAAAAATTGAAATTTGTTCTTTTAATGAAAATTACCTCAGATTTCATAATTAGTTTTTTCAAAAACTTTAGATTTGTAATCGTCTCTCTCGCATTCGTTCTTGTAGTTTCTAATCCCTTATAAGTTGTATTCAGTTTTTCATTATGGGTAAATGTGTTTGTTATGTCCTTCACAAGCAGAGTATTGAAACTTCCACCTCCCTTACGCTAAGCTTATGAACACATATCGAATATCTAACAAATTATTCAGCCTTTTCATCAGAATTTTAAATTTTGTGGTTGCGCACGAAACCGTGCTTCGAAAAACTTTAAATCTTTTACCCTTAATAGTTCTGTCCGTAGGATGACTAATTTCATTCAATCTAACAATCGTTTGGTATTTGCTTCGAAATTTTCTCTGCCGCTTTCCCTGCTACCTTCACTTTAAAGAACACCAAATAATAGCGTCCCTCTGTCTTCGGTGGAGCAGCACGGCGAATGTAGCCACCTAAGATTTGCTATCACTATATGCAAAAAATGCCATCTTACATTAGAAGGGAATACATTTACGTGCTCAGACTGGAGAAACATAAGAGATGGACAAATTTTAGCAAATGGTGATATGTCTGCTTAAGGTAAGTGGTATTAGATTTTTTACAGGAATCAAATCAACTTATTCAACACTCAAGCGACTCTTTAACAAATTCTGTGACAATCTTGCTTGGTAATCCCTCTTGTCCCGGTTCGCTCTGTTTAACATTTGATGAGCGATATCACAGACCAATATGATAAGACTGAAGCCAATTGCACTCACTGAGTTTAACAAGGCATTGAAAGTTTCTAACCCCACGTCTCCTTTAAACGGCATCCGAAACGGCCATCTCAATATGACGAGGTTTTCAAAACGTATCACATACCTTGACGCTAGTGTAACTTTAAAATTGTTCCTTTAAAGAAGAAGCTCCGATTGTCCTCAAATCTCAGTTCATATAGAAGCATTAGTTTCTATTATGAGGAAAGGATATTATGCTCCTGTTTAGAATTCCGTTCAGAGTCTCATAATATTGTCAACGACTTTCAATCTGGTCTCAGGCGTTCGAAATTGGCTCACGACAGCATCACCAGTCTTTGGTCTGTTATTAATATAGCTTTCGTCACAGGTAAAAGCTTCGTCACTCTCAAGGGGATTGCCAATCAGATTATGCAACCCGGTATATGGGCTTTTTCCTTACAAAAATATCCAAATTGACGGCAGTGAGACGGCTACATATAGAAAATTTTTCACGAGTGTCCCTCGCGGTGCCGTACTAATGATGTATTTAATTCTTTACCTGAGAATTGTTCGATACTAGAAAATTCTGGCGATCTTGTCTTCACTTCATACCTTGATCGCTCTGGATATAATTTCTAAGGACTCAGTGCCTCTTCAACTCGCTGCTGCTGTTTTTCTATAATATCTATAAGTGGGGGCAAACAGTTGATCGCGATGTAGTCAATTTTTCTGCTACAGCTCTCAAATCAAATATTGTCTATAAAAGGCCGTCTTCAAGGCCGCAAGGACTTTAGAAATCGATTTTTTCCTTAACGTCGCCTTTCTAAAGCAGAACTCGCCAACCAGTTACCAGTTTCCGAATGTCTTTGTAGGCCTCACCGTATGTACTGCATATATTAGTTTGGGGAAAAAGAAATCCATTATTTTTATATGAATT